ATGGTTTGATGGGCGTACACCCGAAGTAGGCTAAGACGTGGATTGCTCACCCTCAGGTGGGCTAGTAAACATCGGTTTTTGCTATCTATCGTAGTAGGGCTTAAAACATCACATTTGATGAATTTCGTTTCCAATTTAAATACACCGCAACATTCACCCACAGGCATTCAGGCAGTTATATCACATAAGCATATAGCCTCATGGTAACATCTATTCAATTGGCAATCACTCACACACCATGCATTAGAGTGCTAAAGTCATAAAACCTGAATCGAGTACTCCAATGCCCAAAACAAAACTAATTAGAAATCCATGCATGTCCTAATTAATATGCGGAAATGCCTAATGCAACACAGCAAAAAAGCAACTATATGCTAAGACTCGGCTATTCTACGAACATGGCATCTAATGAAATGCTACAGCTAACATGTATTGCTACTGGAATTGTAAAAATATAATGCAGTTAGTATGATTGCCGGCCAGCCCAGGTGGATCAAGACAGATGAATGAATGCACAACATGCTATCATGACTGTATGCTAATTGAATACATTCTGCCTAATTCTAACCATCATAAGCGTGGTAAATATAAAAGGGAACCAAGACGTAGGGTTTGGAAAGACATGCATCACACACACCGCACACTTATTACTAATATTGCCCTCGTGCAGAGGGTCCGGAATAAATAATGCATGTCCGAATAAATATTACAGTCCAAATACTTACAAAATCCTAATTAAATTAACGAATCAATAAAAGCGAGGTAAGCTGTAAAACAGCATGCAAGCTATGCGACTTCGCCTCGACTGCCGCTCCGGATTGGATTAATGATGCTATGCTCGGGGTTGCTTGGCAATCGGAAATCCACTGCGATGTACCAATTAGCCGTCTGTTTTCGATTGAGCCGAAATGCTGTGAAGGCTTTTGAAAGCTACTTGATCTCTTGATTTGCTTGGCGAACAGGCAGCAAGGAAAACGGGCATGGCAATGATTTTTTCACAAATTAGCATTTCCTCGATCTCGGCCACCATCACCATATCGATGCATAATGGCCGAGAGGTCGAATTGTGCAGAGCTTCATATCAGATATGCAATGCATATGAATACACGACAAGGGTTGCCTACTGCCATCATTGGACTAATCGGTATGTGTCGGCGACTAGGATTTGAGACACGTTCCGTCACTTCGAGTACGAAGCGTAACTCGTTTCCCGTGCTCGGCTGAACTCCTATTATCCAAGGAACACAATGCAAATAACTGCATGAACGCATGGAATGCAATAATATACACCTAGCGTGCTCAATGCTATGAATGGCATAACACATGCACGAGGTATGCCATGCATACACAATGCTCTAACAGTACAACCTAGCATACGCAATGCTATGAATATGAAATGGCATTCACAATGCACAATGGACTTACACCCAACATGAGTGAACCTCAAGCACAACTCACTATAGAGCCATTAGATGAAGAATGAGACGACTCGAGATTGCGTGCTACACTAGTACGCAGAAGCGAGGACCGAACCTAGGGCACCTAAAATGCCACTCTAACAAGACATTGGCAAGGCAGGAGATAAGTGGCATCTAACATGGCCATTTCAGCACTGAAATGTGATGGCTAAAATGATCCAAAACTGGAAACATGGCACCCGATGCATGGAATGAGAACTTCAACATATGAAAATTAATGGTAACATCGGAATGAACCTATGGCTATGCAAATCATGCATGTATTGAACACGAAGTGTGAAGATACGAATTCAAGAAAGTCTCAAATAAAGTAATATTTCAGTTCTCAAAGCAAGGCCAAAAGTGAATCAGCAAATAGGGCTAAGCTATTAACTATCAATAAGAAAAGAAATGGCCGCAAAAGAGAGATACATGAAGAAAGTACATCTTGATGATCCTAAATGGCCAAGACGCCCTTCAACAAAGTTGAATATGGGCTCAAAATGACGGCACTTTACAATGTTTACAACAAGCCACCGGATCTAAACAACAACAGGCCTAAAAACATTGTGCAGAAGTGGCCAAAAGGGAGACAAAGAAGCAAGTGATGGTTTTTGGCCTCAAACAGAGGAGGGCCCTTCAACAAAGTTGAAGATGGGCCCAAAATATGGTATTTTACAGTTAGTGACCAAACCCAAAACAGTGCACATGCAAGCTTAAAATACTATGCAAAATGAGGCCTAAAAAGAGGTTTAAACACAAAGAGCAAAAAGGGAGCTTCAAAGAGCAAAAGTCCCTTGATAAAACATGAAGAAGGGGTCAAAATAAGGCTATTTACAGTTTGGATCAGAGCCCAAAAACACAAGAACAAGGGGCTAACAAAACATGCAAAAATAAGGTCAAAAGAGGGATAAAGAGGCAAGTAACAAAAGGAAGCCTCAAACTGTGAAGAGCCCTTCAACAATGTTGAATAAGGGCTCAAAATAAGCCACTTTACAGTTTATAACCAAGCTCAAAACAGTTTACAAATAGGCCTAAAATACTATGCAAGAAAGAGGCATACAAGAGAGGTAAAGAAGCAAGTGCAAAAAGGAAGCCTCAAACAGAGAGAGACCCTTAAACAAACATGAAAAAAACCTCAAAATAATGCTATTTTCAGTTAGGGTCGGAGCCCAAATATGCAAGCAAGTATGACTAATATATTGAGCAAAATAGGGCAAGAAAGAGGGAGGAGAGGACTTACCCTTGAAGACCAAGTCTTTGACAAATCTTGGCATGAGTTTGGTGGCTCCTTAGCTCTAGAAAACAGCTCCAAGTGGCTGGAATGGATGGTGGTGGTGTGATGCTAGGTGGTGGTGTAGAAATGGTGTAGGGTTTGGGAGGTTTTGAGGGTTGGAGTGTAGAGAGAGGGAGATACAATGTGGGAGCCTCAAAGCAAATTTTTGTAACCCTCAAAACACAGCTGGAGGGTCTGCTATATAGGCAAAAGAGTGGGAAAAAAGGGGGAAAAAAAAGGGGGGGAAATGAATTCAAGTTTCCCTCCAAAAGTTGGCCCCCCGGATACACAATCTGGGGGGAAATAAAATGCATATCTGTAATGTATTTGGAGAGAGGATCAAGGCCGGCTGGTTATTGAAGTTGCAGGTGGCCGGCCGGCCCTTCCCATGGCCGACCGGCCAAGGGTCAAAAGGGTCAAGAGGTATTAGTGGCCGGCCACCCCAGATTGGTGGCCTCCCACGTGTGCACAACACAACCATGTGGTCAAAAACTGGAGAAAGTGAACCAGGAGAGAGAAAAGGCCACTTTTAGGAGGGGTTCAAAAGAGTCAAACACAATTACTGGCCGGCCATGTGATATTGGTGGCCTCCCAGGTGTGTACAACACAAATATATGGTTTAGGGCTGGAAAAAGTGGCCTCAGGGTGGTCAACATTGGCTTTCAAGTGAGAAAAACGGGCGACGGAGGGCGATGGAGGAATAAAACTGGTTTTCAGAACAATTATTGGCCTCCCACCCTTCTACGACCTTCTTAACAATGAAACAGAGGTCCCTGCCAAAAATGAGCCCAAACCGATGCAAAATGAAGGTTCGGGGGCCGAAACGCGCAGCCCGAGGCCCCGAAAACTGACTGTTAGGCACCGGAAGTGGTGTTCGACCACGAAGCTGGTCTCTCGAGCCACAGTGTCCCTCAAAAGGGAGCAAATAAAATGCATGCCAAAAACCGGAGCAAACAGAGGTGGTTAAGCGGTCCCGAACCGAGGCACACGACCAACGGCTCTGAAAAATCAGAAACCGGACTCCGAACGGGCGAAATGGCCTACGACCACGAAGCGTAGCCTACGGCCACTGAGAGATGATCTACGAGGCCTCTTCCTCCCTTCGAGAAGAGAAAACAGAGAAAACAGAGCCTGGTTCGCAAACCGAGGCAAAGCGTGAAAGAGTCCGGAAGTCCGGAGGCAAGGCTCGCAGCCGAGACTCTGAAACTTCTGAACGAGCACGATATGCAACATCACCAATCGCTCAATCGGTGACGTCTGAGTCTTAAGGTCGGTCAAAAATGGGGTGTCTACACTTACTCTCTGCTAAGACATGATCTAATGTAGTAATAGAGATATTGCCTCGGAGCTCTCTAAAATGGGACGGTTTGAACTACTGTTGTACAATGGTTAAACTCTCCTCAAACGATGCCTTAATATCAACGTGCTGCAACTCAAGCAAACTATGGATCTTGGTCCAAGAACACTCAAAATTGACTTGGTTAGAACCAAGTTGCCGTTTAAGTTTTGCATGTGCACTTTCAGCCCTGTGTACAATGGAAACAATTAACATAATTAAGTTTAAATAATCAAAATCACAACGATTAATAGTGCAAGGTAGACAAATATACATTACCTATTGGTTGTAACATTCCCAAAGTGCATACAATTATCTGTCCATATGGCAACAAACTTATCCTTATATAGAATTAACCAACTTTGTGACACGTATTGCACTGCCTTAGGATATGTATCAAAATCCGTAAGTAGCATGGCAAGGCGTTCATTGTATTCAAGCTCAGTTGAGGAGAGTACTAAGAAATTCCATGAAGAGATAAACTTGTCCCATTTCTCCTTACTCTCAGACATTTTCTTGCATTTCGCCAGTACATTTCTATTAATATGCCATCGGCATAATAAATGTCAAGATGTAGAAAATACCTTCTCAATAGAATTCATCAAAGCAAGCTCCCTGTCCGTGACAATCACCTTAGGAATAACAATGTCATCCAAGAGACTACGCAATGTAGTTAACACCCAAACATAGTTATCGATCCGCTCAAATTGGAGATATGCAAAGGCTACGGGGAATGACATATAAGTGGATGTCACACCAACTATCTCAAGAAGAGGAAGACGATATCAATTTGTCTTATATGTGCAGTCTATGATCAGTACCTTTGGAAATGAACAGAGCAAATCTAAACTGACAGGATGTGCCTAAAACAAGTCTGTGATAGTCATCATGTTATTGTCACACCTATGCCGCTCAATGTAATTATGCTTTTCTAATTCACCCAACAACTGTTGCATCTGTGATCTCCCAGCTTTCTCAATAACATTATTCCTATTACGTACATTGTAAATGTTTTCATAGTGGTTACATTCAAAGCATCCTTTTGTTTCAAGGTAACCAAAATCTCTTTTGGTCTGACCATGCTTTTGGATATATCCACTAATAATGATGTTTCTTCCTCATATAATCTACCTGCAAATGAATGTCCTTCAAAATGTTTAGCAGGAGCATGGTTATGCGTTCCATATGCTACATCTAGCATCCAAGCATCATCAGCCATCAACTTATGAGCCCTCAACTCAAAAGGACACCCACATTTCTTTGTACCTGTTATTTTCACAATTTTTTTGTTTGAATCATCTTTTTTTAATTTCTTATGAGCTCTGTATTGACCATTTCTCTCACATGCAAGATATATCCTTGGTGTCCTATGAGAACCACCATAGTCCGATGTCTTGATGACAATCACAAAATCATTTTTCCTTCCAATAGCTCCTATACAACTGAGCAATTCTTCTTTACTCTTGAAAACCTACATGTCAAATTCACCAAAGTCATTAAACATGCGAAAATAAAAAGAAAAAAAAATACTTATTTTCGACATGAGACTACCTCATTAGTACTAAATTTGACTTGTGTAGTCAACTGACTCTCAGATCCAACATTACTGCATTCCATGGATGCACAGTTTTGGAAAAAGAAAAAAAAATAAAAAAAATGTTATAAGTGTACAGAAGTACAGAGTCGAACTAAGCCTCTGTTTAGGAAGTGGGTTGGTTTTTTGGCTTTTTTACTTTTTTGGTTATTTTAGCCTGGGCTAAAAAGTTTGGTTTGGGAAGGGCTTTTTGACTTTTTGGCTTTTTTGACTTTTTTTGTGAGAGAAGAATGTAATGATTATGGGTTGGATGTGATATTTTATTTTTTGTAGCTAAAATAACATATTTTGTCTTTTGTGGCTAAAATAGCCAAAAAAGTCCCGTTTAGCTCTTGTTCGACTGTTTATAACCGAACAATTGGTGTTTGTTCGATACTTACAAACCGAATAATTGCAAAATGTTCGACACGTGAAACCGAACATATACATTTTGTTCGGTTGTAGTTAGTCGAACATAGGTATCTTATTCGACTCTGGATAGCCGAACTAATACAAACAGTTTACTACTCAGCAAGTACACGAAAACAAAAAAAAAAAAAAAATGAAAAAATTACCTTTTTCTTTCTCCATTGTTCCGAACCAGTATTGCCAGATGAATCCATCATTGAATCCAATCAAAATTTTTAATAATAATACCTATATTTTTTGGTTATTTCTTTAAGGGTTTTTGATTTTTGTTTTAGAATTTTTAGATTTTTGACACACAAGATACGTGAGCAAAGTTTGAGATTCTTGATGTGTATAATATTTATTATTATACTTTATAGTAATTATATAAATGGTGTGTACCCTAACTTTTTATTTTTTATAATTATTTTATTTAAGATTAAAATTGTAACAAAAAAATAAATTAATTAAGGGTGTGTTTGAGGTAAATAGTGTTCTACCAAACACTTCCAAAAAGACGGCTACTACTGTTCCATAATTCTCCTTACCAGAAGGGTCCCAGAGAGTCACCAATTCCTACTTGGCTTTGCTTTGTGAGAGAGAGAGAGAGAGAGAGAAGAGAGGTGAAAAATGGGGAAGAGTGAGACTGTGAAGAAGGCAGAGAAGCTTATGGTATCGGCTATGAAAGCAAACGATGCATCTCACGATGCTTCTCATGTCTTCAGAGTTCGAGACCTCGCTCTCTCTCTTGCCCTTGAGGAAGGCCTCTCTTCTTCTCCTGATTCCATGGAAATTGTTTGTACCCACCACTTTCTCAACCCCTAACCCCTATTTATATATACTTGTACCAATTTGAATCTCTTTTAGTATAGCTTGATCCTATTATTATAACACAGATTGCTCATATCGATTCAATTACTAATTTTAGTGCTGGATTAATTTTCTTTCTTTTTCTTTTTCAGTAAAAAATTTGAGGAAAGCTTTGCTATGTAGCATTCTAATGGACAAAACTTAGATTTAAGCACAAATTTGACACTCTGTTTGGATGGGGTGATTTAATGAGAAATGATGAGAAACTGAAATTTTCTCATGGTTGATTTTTGTAAGCTGGGTGAGAAATAGTTAGAAATGGTGAGAAAGATAACTTGTTTACTAACACTCTGTTTGGATTGAGGGTTTTGGTGAGAAAAGAAAAGAAATGGAGGGAAATGAGGTTTCTTATCACTTGTTTGGATGATTAATGAGGTGAGTAATGGTGAGAAATGAAGAGAAATTGTGAGAAGGTCAAATCACACCAAACTTAAGTTTTGTTTCTCACTAAAATGGTGAGAGTTGGTGAAAAATTCCTTTCTCATCTCTCAATCAAAACGTGTGTAAATCTATTTTATTTCTTACCGAAATGGTAAAATTTGGTGAGAAACAAGTTGATTGGTTGTAAAAAATTTATAATACCAAGATTGTCTATTAAAATACAAACGAAGAAAATGAAATCTCATTCATATCCCTCTCTCACATGCGTTGTTTTTACTCATCCAAATCATTTATTTTCTTCCCCGGATGATAGACCACAATCATTTTTTTTTTCTCATCCTCCAATCCAAACAGAGTAAAATATTCATTAGTGGCAGAGTCGTAAATTTGAAAGTTACAAAATAGATTTCAAACATTTGAGTAAACATTTTAGTCTTCCTTGATTTGATTATTTGAGTAAAAAATGAGAAACGCATTTTGATATGAGTTTGAGGAAAGGACTAAAGAGGGTTTTGGGAGGTTTTTTTTTTACTGAAATTTTAATTTGATGTGGGGAAGGGGTAAGATGTTGTTGGTGGATTTCTTGAGAGCTATTTGAATTACTCACTGTTCTTCTGTCAAGTTGTATTTCGGAGTAATGTACTATTTTCTGCTAATTGTGAAGGCTTTGGTAAAGCGGGTGAGACACATTATACATAACTTTTGCTAACATTTTTAAGGCAATTATTTTATTCCCTTGAAATTGTCTTTAGAGCCTGATCACGATTCTGGATTGCGAGATACCATCTCTAATGATGTATCCTAGTTAGAGAAACAAAGTGGGCTTCCATATGAGATAAACATCCTGTAATTACTTATTGGGTATGTTTGATTGGAAGGATTAAAGCATGGGATTGGGATTATTAATCCGTGGGCCCAATCATCCTATGTTTGTTTGGACATTTTGGTTTAGGATTATTAATCCAATGGATAATTAATCCAACAAATTTGTAGGATTATTAGTAATGGGGTAGGGGTGGGATAGCTAATACCACACTAATTTGATAGGATTATTAATACCTCACTATTAGTGTTGTGAATCAAACATGGCCATTGAGGATTAAACACCACGATGCAAGAAGTTGATATTCTATATATATGTATATATATATTTTCCCCTTTCCTCTTAAACAACTTATTGATGGTAGGTTTTGACTGAGATTATGATTGTACTTCTGGTAGGCTTTACTATTAGGCTATTGGACACCTTAATTTTTGGTTTATACATCCCAACTAAAACTGCATAGGTTTGGTGACAAAATTAGCACTTTTGACTCTACTATGGTAGCATAGTTATCAAATTGAGAATCGTATTTTGAATCGAAATCTTAATTTTGCGAATCATGGATTGAATAGAATTGAGAATCATTAAGATTCAGTACAAACTATAAAAAATGATGTAAACAATCACATATATGTATATATATATATATATGAAATAGATGAAATGAATTGATAAGTTGCTATGCTTGCTATGTTCATCGAGAGAGGAATGAATTTCGTATGTTTTGAACTTTATAATCACAGGCAGCTGGAGAAGGATTTTACGCGCTTGCCTTTTCTTTTTTCCTCTTTTATTGTCAATGATTATTGTTGTTTCACATTCTTTATGACTTCTCTTAAGCCAGCGCATCTTTCAAACCTTTTATGTATATATCTTGGCAGGTGGAGCTGGCTGCGCTTCTCCATGATATAGGTATGCACTATCTCCTTGTTGCTTCTTATACACATCTGCACTAATAAGTATCTAGAATTTCTTTTTTCTTCCTGTCAGGTCTGAAAGTTTTTTTTTGCATTGATGTCCCCTGTTAAGAAGAACCTCTTATCCCTAGGGATGCCCATATATGTTGAAAAATAGTTTTCCATCATAGAAAATAGTATTGTGCTATGTTACATGGACTCATGTGGGGTGTCGTCGGGTGCGAGTATGTGTCTAATTGTCAAATTCGTTTAATTTTTTATATCTGAGGACACTAGCCTAGGACACAACTAGATTGCATATTTCTTAAATGCTTCTATTATCTTTTTATGATAAAGTGGTGTTTACAAACTAATAGGGCATTTTATGGATAAAAGAGGAGTCTTATGCATAGTTATATAGTGAACTCAACTACTTAAGCATACTTTAAGAGCGCATGTCTAGTCCAACTAAACATGACCGACACATAGCTCATATTCTTGTTCTGTCACTCAAGTATTGAGTGTTTGACATGGGTACTTTACAATTTAGAAGAGTCCATGTAGAGTAAGTGATGAAGATCATGGAAAGAAGAAAAAGAGCAAATTTGAAATTTCACATGAAGCACATTTAGGACATCAATAATTAAAAATTTGGAATAATTTTGAGTCTTCATGTTATTATAGTAAGTTTTAGTAATTAAGGGTATAATGGTAATTCCAATAATTGTTAGACATGGGTTGTAGGGGCCACTCATGAGTTTTATTTTGGGTCAAGTTATTAAATGGGTCATTATATATAGGTTTTATTATGACTAAAATAATTTTAGTGGTTAAAAGTTCAAATTTCCTATTTTTATATTGAAGTAGAATTAGAAGTCATTAAAGTTTCCTACTATGATTAAAGTAGAATTGGAAGTCATAGTTGGTCTAGAATATTAGTAATTGCTAAACATTTTTAGTTTCTAAATTTGAGTTATGGTCTAATAGAATTAGGAGAGTCATTAGCCTAAAAATATATGTGTAATCTCAATGATTCAAGAGAAGAGTTAATATTATGAAAATTTGAGATTGTGTTTGTGTGATTGGCCTATCCCTTGTGAGGGTGATGCACATCTTTTTTCTTCTTCTTCTATTCAGTAAGGTTACTGTTCACGTCACTATTCACAGTGCTTAGAACAACCACCCAACATCCCCTAGATACCTGTGTTTTCATTCCCAAAACACTACCCTTTTACAAACCCTTAAACTCCTATTTTTAAATACTTTTGCAGCCACGAACTCCCACCAAATCCAGCTCTATAAATATATTGTTGCTGCTGCCAGTATACTTAACCTGGCTCACTACTTGTAGGAAAGTAATTTCTACTCATCCTACATCAGTAAGGGTTATGTCAAATTTTGTCTCTCCAGCATTTTTTTTAATTAAAAACATAAAAATAAAATTGTTTGCTTTAGCATCTTGGTGGACCTTCTTTTTATTATATATATATATATATTTTTTTTCTTTTATTTATTTATTTTTTTAAATTTATAAAACAAGTATGACTGATATGATTCATGGATGTGCTACTCCAGGAAATGTAGCAAATATTTCTTATCATAAACATTTTGCATTTTTTTTAGCATCTGATTGCATCTCTTTCTTGATCTCATTTTTGGAGTCACTGATGACATTCTTTATTGGATGCTTGATTACAGGAGACTACAAATACATGAGGTTGGTGCTACACTTCCTTGTTTACATGTACAAGTACTTTTTGTTTCTGCTTTAGCATGTCCGGGCTCCTCTTTATTCTCTGCACATGTGCCACTTTTTTTTTATTTGAAATGCAAAAACAAACCAATATTGTTTCTGTATTTGCTGCAACATTGATTTTCGCAGAGAATTATACGTGGATATTGAAGACAGTGACATATGTATGAATGTGCTTTGTTTAATGTATATTACCTGCAAACAAAATACATGCACATACGTGTTTCTAACAAAATATGCAAGTGCATTTACATCTGTATCCCCTGCCTTGGGTTTTGGCATTTTTGCAATTGCTTCTCTCAGTGGTTTTTCATCTGATCCAAGTATGATGCATTCTTTATTTCTACTGTCTTTGTCTTTCATTTTGTTATGAAATTAAATCAATAAATTTGTTTTGATGCTTAAATTTCTCCTTGCTTATCTCTCCCTGTCTCACTGTCCTACTACTATGGCATATAGAGATCCATCAGAGGAGAAAATTGTTGAGGAATTTCTGGAGGCTGAGAACGTAGAGGGGAGCAAAAAGATAAAGATTCTAAGCATTATAAAGGGAATGGGTGAGTTTCTCTTAGGAAGCTCTTCGTTGTGATAATGTGAGATATTTGAGATATTAGTTTTCTTTCACCCAAATTTTTTATTGTCATCCATTTTTGAAGATGTTTGATTCAAACTGAAACAATTTGAACCAAATAAAAATATTGTATTGGTATCCATCTTTGTATGTCTACCATTGATTTTTAGTAGTTTATCAGTGCGTACTTTATACTAAAGGAGAATTACAGGTAACAAGTATGAAACCTCAGTTTCAAACTTCTCATATCGAATGAAATTGTTGAATTGGAGTTCCTGTAGTTAGTGAATTTGGATTAAGATTGGAATTACAATGATCCATCAGTTTATCAAATTGGTCATTTTCCTTGACGGGATATGTCCAATCTGGTTCAAATTCGATCATGTCCTTGATTTTTATTTTTATTTTAAAATTTTTTGGTTATTTGATGTGAGATGTTTATGAGAAATCGACTTTGTCACTTCTCCTGCCACTCGCTTCTTTTTTACGTTTTTCTACTTCTATTATCCTATTGTATGGTTTTGATGGCTATTAAAATAGAGCACGTGATCAAAAAAGTTTTTCAACACGTTTTTCTTCTATTATCATACTGTTAATAATTAAATGTGACCTACTATCAGTGTAATTCTTTTTACTTGTTTCTCTCAAAACAAAGCTATTTTTTAAAGGTGTATACCATTGGTTAATATAACTAAATTTTAATTAATTTATGGTTCTTTCCAATGTTTGATCAACAATTCCCCATGGAAATTTTCAGGTTTCAAAGATGAAATTGGAGGACAGGTAGATAGTAAACATTCCATAGAATTTGGGGTTGTGCAAGATGCTGATCGTCTTGACGCAATTGGTGCAATTGGTAATATATGTCAGTTTTATTAGTACTTGATATCCAATAGTATTTTCTATACACTAAACTTTCTGTTCCATTCTTGGCTGACTGAGAATAAGGAATTTCACTACTTTTACCACCTTTAATGCCTCATCTGGTTACTGGTCCCGTTATGTGTTTGTATCCACCCCTGCATTCTTATGGAAACATGCGCCACTGTTACCCGAATAAAACTAATATCCTAACAATTTATATTTTGGAATGCATGTTTCCAAACATGGTTACACTTTCATTCAAAATGGTTAATTTAGCGGTCCAAACTGATCCTAATATTTTTCCTGTGTATTTCTTTTTTTAAATTCCTGAAGAGGAAAAAATTCAAATATACCAAACGAAACCAAATGGGATCGGCTACATGAATCCTTCTTCTCCACTTGACTCTATGAATGGCCATTTGGTTAGTCAAATTAAGGAGATTCATATATTTTTTTTACTACATTAACCCACGTCAATTTTGCTCTGTCCCTTCCCTCAATTAAAATCTAAAGAGTCGAGTTTTGGCATGACAAAATGCAAAGACAATTGGCAGTAAATTCTCCTAAAATCTTGTTGTGCATGATCCAATAAAGGAATATAAACTGTATTTTATTGGATATATGATTATTAGAAGAAAATTACTCGCATAGTTACAAGTACCTAAATTTCAGTAGTGTGATCTATTCATTCTTACTCCTATTGTATTGCATTTTAGAGCAAGTAATATCATGTTCATGTTCTCGTTCCCGTTCTTGTTCCCGTTCCCGTTCCTGTTCTTCATATTGGAACGGTCTGCGTGCCAAGTAACATAGCATGTATGTAAGATATGTTCATGTTTACTCTTCTGTTCCCGTTCTTCATATTGTACCACATTTCATGCTCCCGTTTTTGTTCTTCATACCGGGATGATCCACTTACCTGGTAACATAGCATGTATGTAATATGTATATATACAACTGTACCTTACATGTTTTGCCGCAGATTGCTTTCATTTATTAAATTTTGTTGGCTATCCTTGAAGTCTCAAACTCTTCTTGATGGACTTCATAAATATTAAATTGCTTTAGGAGGCAGAATGGTTCTGCATGGGACGTGCCCTCCACCTTCACATACCTCAAGGTTTCCTTTGGTTTCAGGAATTGCTCGTTGTTTTACTTTTGGCGGAAGTAGGAGCAGTGTGCTCCATGACCCGAGCATTCAGCCACGATCAGATTTGTCCAAGGAACAATACATTAAGAAAGATAAGCAAACTACCGTGAATCATTTTCACGAGAAGCTTCTGAAGCTGAAGGATTTAATGAAGACAAAGGTTAAATCTCTGCACTTGAAAAACTTGTATCTGTGCATCATTTTTTGACTTGGATTCTGGTAGTATAAATGTAATGCTTTTAATTGAGTATTTCAAGATGGCAAAGTTTGATGTCGGATAATTGTCGAAATGTCAGGCTGGGCAGAGGAGGGCTGAGAAAAGGCACAAGTTCATGGAGGACTTCCTGAAAGAGTTCTATGACGAATGGGATGGGAGGGCTTGAATGAATAAGGTATTATTGCAAATGACTTTATCTTTGGTATTTCTAATGATGTTAATGTAATTCAATAAAATTGTCTTTGCACAATGGGCACTTTCTCACAATGATACACATCTTACGCATCATATATTCTCTGATGCTTGAAACCCATTTGCATGGTTGTTAGCATAATGTATAATGTATGAAGTGATGTTTTTGCCTTTTTTTTTCAAAAAAAAAAAATAAATAAATAAAAGAAGTTAATTAGTTATATTGAGAAACATAGTTTTATTTGTATGTAGACATATAAACAATAAAGTTATGGATGACGCTTCCCTGCGGTCCGTTGTTTGGATTGGAGCGTCCAGTTATTATATGCCCACCTTAGGTCTGCTTCATTGATTTGAACCTTTCAATTGCTAGTGTCTCCTAAGTAGATCATCCTTTAAAAACTTAGGTTAATTAGATATTAAGTCATATTATTGGATTGCATTTGTTTTTTAAAAAAAATAGACAATAAGTATAAATTCAAAAATTGACCATCCATCTTTAAAAACAATTGTGATTCAAACAATTTTTTTGCATGAATGATCTATTTGAAAGGCACAATATGGATTCACAATAAGCTAAACTGGACTCTCCAGTACAAATGGACTTTAGATTGCTGGAAAGTCTCGTCTTATAGTTATATAATAATATACTTAAAATTGATACTTATTTTTTAATTTGCGATTGACATGTGCACTATACATCAAAAATTGGTTACAGACGTTTGCCAGGCAGTCATTGATAGTGAGATGGGTTAAACTAATTATTGTCCATAATCTCCAATAATTATTTGGTAAGCCTAAGTTGTGTCATGATAGATTACCAGACAAGACAAAAAGGGGAAAAAAAAAAAAAAAAAATTATATGAGATAACAGTGTTCTGTTGTATCAATGTCCGACATAAGATGGTGTTATGTTGTACCCCAATTTTGGATAACCATATTTATTTGTCAAAAGATGTTTTCAACATTGTTAACACACCACTTCATTGTAATTTTTTTTGATTGGTGAAAGTCACCCTTAATTCAACTCTTCCTAGGGAGAATTGAATCGATGACCTTCTTTAAGGAAGTTCTTAGAAAAGTTATGGTGACTAATTAGGTTATGCTTAGTTGGTTTACCATTTCATCATAATATGTACTAAACGGATCATGAGATTTATAAATAAATATTGAGAGTAACGGTAATACTCCACTTCATTGTAATTTTTTTTGATCGGTGAAAGTCACCCTTAATTCAACTCTTCGTAGGGAGAATTGAATCGATGACCTTCTTTAAGGAAGTTCTTAGAAAAGTTATGGTGACTAATTAGGTTATGCTTAGTTGGTTTACCATTTCATCATAATATGTACTAAACGGATCATGAGATTTATAAATAAATATTGAGAGTAACGGTAATACTATTATACATGATATTATTAGTAAATAGAGTATTGCAAATAAAATTATATATAGGTACTCATTTTTTTCTCATTAATTAAATTGTTTTTTTTTAAATTTATATATATATATATATATATATATATACTTTGCATCCATTTGGATCCACCTTTGTAAGGTAAAATCCAAGATGTATGCCAGTGACTCCACAAGCATACAATCAGGCAAAGATAAGGAGACTCGAACTCAAGACCAAGGTTTTAAAAAGCGGTCGCAATCGTTACGTAATGCCGTTACGTAACGGTTGTGGTGGTTACCGCCACCCGTTACGGCCACTTTTGTAATGTAATTGAGATTCACAGGTGTGTTGGCCGTAGCGGTTGCTGTAGCGGTCGTAAGGGTGCCGTAACAGCTGTAATGACTTGTTACGCACCGTTACGTAACGGTTTCAAATTACTTCTTTCAAAAAAACACGCAAAAAAAAAAAGGTTAAAAATGGGGGAAGAGGGATATAGAGAGAGAAGAGGGGAGATTGAGGAGCAAGAGATAGAGAGAGAAAAGAGGGAAGATGAAGAACGTATTATTCATTTGTTGAAACTATAAGACTTATGCTATTCTATTCAGATGCTATCACTCAATCATTTTGTTTTGTGTGTGTCTATCTATATATTGTTTGAAAATAATAATAATAATAATAATAATAATAATAATAATAATAATAATAATTGTGGTCATTATCTATTTGGATTGATTAAAATATATATATATATATATATTTAGGCTCTTATTTAGTCTCTTATTTTTGTCATTGTTTATCTTATCTATAATAGTTAATGATTGATTTTTTGTATAATACAAAGTCATTAATTATTAAAATAAAATGTAAAAAACTCAGTTTATAGTGATTTAAAAATATGAAATATATTGAATCATATTTAAAAATTTACAAAAATTGATCAATATTTATTTTAAAACCCAACAAATATGATCATGGAAAAAAATATGCGTATCGGTAAGTTTTTTTTCAAATTATGCGAAAAATAAAAAAATTTACGGTTCCGATTACCGCAACTGTTACGCTACGGCCTTTACACCGCGTAACCACAACCGTGCCACCGCCACCGTTATGATAACCACAACCGTTTTTAAGAACATTGCTCAAGACTTTAGGATTTTGGAAGATAAATTTTTGAAAAGAGTTTTTAGAATTTAAAAATTTATTTAGTTGTATATTTTGAAAATAGTTTTGTAATTTTGTATTTGGAGTTTTGTAGTGTAGAATATTTTTAGTTTTTTTGTAGTTAAATAGATGGTGTGAGAAAAAATGATTAATTGATGTGTAAGAAGTGAGAGAATGAGAGAGGAGAGAAAAAAAATGATTAATTGATGTGAATGATGAGAGAGAAGAAGAGAGGAGATAGAAAAAATGATTGAAAATAATTTTAAAAAAATTGTAAACTAAAATAAATTTTGAGTTTTGAGCTCTCAAAATTTGATTTTAAAACTAAACGAAACAAGTCTAATTGCGTCAATCATGTAGCTTTACTATCATATTATTGTGAGAATTTTTATGGTGTAATATTGTCGCATAGTATTATTGTTATGCATATTATTATTTATTTGTGGTATACACCCAAGCGGTTGTTTGGGGTTAGTTTTTTTATTGATTTTTTCTTTTTTGGCTCTCAAGTCAAAAATTCAAATTTGAATTTTTTTTGCCAAATAGTCCACACACAGAAATAGTATGTCCATAAAGACGTGACTCTGGGAAATGATCAAACTATCCCAAGTATATATATATTGAAATCAAAGCAAACCCTAACCAAACTCTCTCTGTTGCTGTGAGAACTTGAATATAAAAATAAAAATAAATAATAATAATTTTACGAATCTCAAATATTTTGTTTGTGAATCTTAAAATGCAAATTAAATATTGTTGGATGGTTTTTTAATTAATTTTAAAACTAAAATAAATTTATGATGAAAGTCTTTAATTTTGAGGCAATTTTTTTTATAAAAAATAATAGGGGACAAATTAATAATTATAGTTTAATCTAATAATAGTTGTATTTTATTTAAGTTGATGGGGAGAAAAAAAATTAATATAGAAAAAAATAATAATTTGGAGCCTTTTTGTTTAGATATATAAAACAACCCTAGTGTTCCTAACAATATGATAGCAGCAGCAGCAGTAGCAGCAGCCTGAAGGAGAGAGGAGAGAAAAGAGGCTGCAACAAAGAAATTTTTGAGTGTGTTCTCTAGCATTCGTCTTCCTTTTGCTTTTGTTTTTTTTTTATTCTTATTCTATTATTATTTAATTCATTGATGGAGAAGTGGTAGGTGTATGTGTTTTCTACACACATATATATATATATATATATATATTGTTAAGAACTCTGAGGAGCTATTTCATGTATAAAGATTGGGTGTAATTTTTAGTCTAAAAATTTTGCACAAAACACATACTTTAAAAATTAAGAAATCATATCACACGGATGAATTTTGAACTAAAATTTTTACAGCAGCTTAATTACATATTGAATTTCATACTATAATTTTTTCATAATTTTTGGGAGTCAAAATCTATATAAAATGATGCATTCAAATTTGTGCAAAAAACTAGTACAAAACAGTAACTTCAGAAGGGTAGTTCTGTATGGGTATAAATCTAGAAATTACCAAATCAGGGCCATTGGAACCGTCTATGAGTCTAGTTTCTTACATTTTTGTCTTGAGTTGATTGCTCTTGTATTTTAAGGGAACCGTGAATTTCTTTAAACTGCTGCAAAAAGTGACTTATATAGATATAATTAATAGTAAATAATTCTTATGATAAGTAAATCAAGTAAAACCAATTGTGTTTGAAACTTAAGATATAATAGTTGATATCTAGAGGGTTTTGGAAATTTTCGATCAATGTAAAGTGGGTTTTTAATTTTTAAGGTTAGCGAATAGATTGAGAAAACATGTTTAAAATTCTATTTTATCTCAAAGTAGTATTTAATTAAATTTTGACCGGAACCCATGTCTTGGTTAATTTTGGACCTTGAAGAACATGAATTTAGGTATTATTTATGAGTAACAATGAGTTGGATTGAGCCGTATTTGTGCGCTTTACCTTCAAGTTTGTTTATTATTCCTTTTAGTATTTCTGAATTAGTAGTGACATGTAATTTTCATACTTGGTTTAGGACACTAGTTGGACTTTCGATATTCTATTCGAGGATTATATTGTGCTGTTGTCAAGTGAGTAGATGCATGTTACATATTTTTATAAATGTTTCTTTACTTTGAATTGTTGGAAAATTAAATTGTTATTTCAGGATTAAACTGTGTTGATAAAATTATTATATTATCAATGGAACTAAATTATTTCTGAAACATGTGTAAACTTGGCATATAGTAAATTGTTTGAAATGGTCTCATGTTTGTAATAGTGACTATCACGTTTTGTGAAACTGAATTATATTGATTATTAGGACTATATATAAAAACTCCAATGAATTTATTCCACTATGTGTGATGACTTTTGCCATTAGGAAACAAATCCAGGGTAGGCTATGATGACTCTAGTGCTCAACAATTGTAAGGAACAGACTTGAGTTAGGTTAGGTGACCTTCAAGCGGATTGTCTTAGAGAAAGGCCTGGGTTGCCACCCCGAGGATAACTCTTGGTTCGTTATTGGATTCAACAAGCTTATTGAGCTATTTTTATTTTTAGATTGTTATGTCAATTTTGTGCATACTTTTTTTTGTTGAGATTCATTTAGAATTATTTTGTTATGTGAGCTATTTGTGTCCCATTAGTTTGGACGGTATTGATTAGGGTTGGTTTTTTTCGTTTATACTTGTGACATGTCATTGGATTGAGTTTTGATTTATTTATTACTGAACTATTCTTACATTTATTCTATGTGATTATAGATTCGTGTTTAGGCTTATGTTTGCCTTGGGCTAAGGCCCTGTGGGCCATAGTTGGTCATGCCCGAATTTAGGGTGTGACAGCATCTCTCTCTCTCTCCTCTTTATCTTTGATGTCGACCGACCATCACCTCCGTCAACGATTTTGCCACTGTGGTGCTTTAATCACGACAATCTCACCACCGTTTTTGTAGATCCAGCGACGTGACTTCATCGTCATCGACTTTCGCACCTTATTTGCATCACTGCCATCGTCGCCAGCTTCATCGCCTCCTCAACTCCACTTTCGCCCTTGTTAGCTCCCATTTCTTTATCTTTGCTGCCGATCTGAGTCTTCTATATCCAGGCCTTCACAAACCTCCAGATCAGCTCAAGCCCAATTGACCACTGCCGATACGTCTCCTGAATCGAACCCTAGTTGGTGCTGATAAATGACAAACAAATTAGACACCAAAACCCCTAACTCAAACAGATTAGACCTTGCAACTTACCAATCCCAACTTTTCAGTAAGTTCCGGTTGGCGATCATGATCTCACTGATCTTCGCCGCACTCAACGTCACTCTGCCCTGAAACACCTCTCCAACAATACATATATTTATATTCATACATATTTGTTGTATACATCTTTGCTCATCGTGCCAAGGAATCTTTGCTCGTCCCTTATTGGAATATCTTCTTGTCACTTGTACGTGTGGTTTTGCAATGCTATGTATATTATTTTCACTTAGATTTGATTTTGAAGTATTCTTGGTTTATGGACATTTTAAAATTTTGATTAGATTTTGTTATGGTTGATTTGGATGTCTGAATTGCCAGATCTGCGAATTGGATTTCATTTTGATAGTGAATTGAAACTCTTGTTGTGGTTGATTTGAATGGCTTCCTAATTGTCCAACATAGATCTGTAGGATTTTTAATAGATTGTAGGAATCATATTGGATTTTAACACAAATCCAACACAAATCTGTTGGATTTTTAACGGATAGTAGGAATTTTAGATTTTTTTTTTTGATCTGGCTTTTGATTATCTATTTTTTTTTTTTTGGATGTTGTTATTGATGATGATGATTGCAACAACTAAAAAAAAATGACACAGATATTTTAATAGACAAGACCAAACAGATCAAATTTTTGACAGATAGAGAGAGATAGATAAACAAATAAAAAAATGATGAGAAAGAGATAGAGAGAGAAGAAAGATTTGAACAGATAATAAAATATGTTTAAAATTTGAACAAATAAAAATTTTAAGTAGATAAAATTTTTGTAAACAGATAAAAAAATTGAGCAAATAAGTGAAAAAATTAAATAGATAATAAAATTTGGATAGATATTTGAACAGATAGGAAATTTTTTGAAAAGATAGAGAAAAAATTGAATAGATAGGAAAATTTTTGAACGAGATAGAGAAAAAATTTGAATAGATAAGAAAAATTTTGAATAGATAAGAAAAAAATTTGAATAGATAGTTAACGAAAAGTCAATAGATAAAAAAAGTCAACAGATAAATTAAGAAGTAAAATTGAAAATAAAGTGCCTCCAAAACTAATAAAAAGACTTATTGCCAAATTATTTCACAAAAAGTGAATTTTTCACCAACAAAAAATATTCACTGAACTTAATACCTTATAGTGGGTGATTGAGAAGTGGCTATTTTAGAGGTTTTTTGGCTATTTTAGTAGGCTATTTTAGTTTTTGTGTTTGAGAAGATATGATTGATTTTTATTTGAGTTGGTGTATTGAAAAATGTGTTGAAATGATATTTGAAATTAAAATGACAAATTTGTCTCTAACTTCACATTTTTCAAAATTAATTTGAAGGGGTAAAATTGTAATTTAACTACCTGTCACTGTGACAGTGGTAGGACTGTCACAGCGACAGCCACTGCTGACCTATTTTTTTTTTTTAAAAAAGCTTTTGGTTTAGGAGCTTTTACGTTAAAATTGTTTTTGAGGCTATTTTAGCTCCAAATATAGGTTCCAAACACCCCCATATTCTCCTTATTTGGACTTTTCAATAATTAATCCTGGGGGGGGGGGGGGGGGTTTTTTTTTTTTCGACTCTTTTATTTTAAAGGAAATTTGAAAAACTTACTAGATAAACTGAAAAGGTAATTTTTTAAGAAAATTTGAAAAAAAGTTAAGAAAGATTCAAAACAGAGCAAAAAGCAATTGGTTTTTTTGTTTTTATAAAAAAAAATCTTTAGTGAACCTTGGCATTTTTGGATTTTAATTTTTAATTTTTTTTGTTTAATTTAAAAAAAATTATTAAAGACAATTTTTTTTTTTGGTAATAAATGTGACTTTTTATCACTTTAAATTATTTTAAAGTTCCTATCCAGTCAAGAAGAAATAATATACTAATAAAAAATTATTTGAATAACTTAAAATGCACGCAGAGTGAAATACGCGTAGCTGGTTTAAGAAAAACAACTGGTTACTGTGCTGAATCTAGGTGATATTTAAAAAAATAAATAATAATTGGTCATAACTTTGTTTGTAAATTTATAACACATACATACTTGTATATATAGGAATGAATAATCAAATTATGAATCATATTCAATCAACATCCACTCCATTATTCAAATCCACAATATACCTCTACATACATATTTGTTCCCATCTCCTTTCCCTTTCCTTCCCTTCCCTTCCTGACTTTGTTTTTCATTTAAATATTTTGGCAACTTATATCCATGGTTTCTGTAATTTTTCTCTTATGTCAATTTGATCTATATAGTTTTAATTGTACCAATCTTACCTTTTAATTTATAACATTATGTTAATTTAATTCAATTGATAGTATCTTTCAAGAAATTAGACAAAAATTAAGGATAAAATAATCCATTCAAAAGGAACCAAACCATTTCAAATTGAACGATAACTTTTATCATTGATTTCAATCTAATTTGAAAAGATTGTTATCAATGGGACTAAACTAATGCAATACGAAAAGTTTTAAGGTAAAACTGATGTGATTAAAATTATAAAGACTAAATTGCCATAAAAAAAATACAAAAATTATTGATATAATTTGTCCTAAATATTTTAATATAATAATGTAATACACACAAGCTATGTAGTAAAGAAATCAAGACAAATAAAAGATAACATAACAAAGTAAACACACAAACTAGCATGGACATGAGAGCATTTTACTTGGATTCTAAAAATACTTTTGAATCTCAGCCTCGCCGCGCCGGAAAACCTTCACCTTCAATCCATGCTTCATGTACATGGTTAGGGCAAGTTTTGGCACCACCGGGTGGTTTTCCTCGACCACCACCCGGTAGCAGTAGAGGATGGAGGCCGCGGCGAATTTCATTTGGTAGTAAGCAAAGTCCTTCCCCAAGCACAACCTAGGGCCGCCGTTGAATGCTGTGAACTTGTAGGCCGACTCGCTCATGAACCGGCCGTCACGGAGCCACCGCTCCGGTTTGTAGTCCCGGCAGTCTTTTCCCCATATTGCCTCCATTCTTCCCATTGCATAAATTGCATAGATAATTTTTGTTCCTTTTTTTAAGACTGTTCCATCTGGGAAAACATCACCTTCAACAACCTAACAACAGTTGCAAGACAAAAACAAGTCATTTTTAGTAATGTAAGAAAATCTTGATTTTCTTGATTTTTTGATTTGGAATTCGTGGGCAGTCTTGACAGGTGGGTAATCTAGAAAGTTAATTGTTGGTTGATAACATTGTCAGTTTCTTGTCGGATGAGAAAACAAGTGTCCCACTTTTGGAAAACATCATCTTCGAAAACCTAATAATTGCAAACTCAGGTCATTTTAAGTAATCTGACAAAATCTTTCTTGTTCTTATTGTTTGTTTGGAAATTGATTTTTTAGTAATTTTTTTTGGTTAAAATATAAGGTAGAAGTATAGAAAATATTTAGAAGTGACTTTTAATTTTTTATAAAAAAAAAAAAAAAACGTACAAAATGTGGAAAGAAGGGAAATAATCTTTAACTTTTTTATGTTGGTTTTTGAGTCAAAGGGGTTGTTTGGAATAAACTAAATAAGTGCACTTTTTGACTTTTTATGAAATATGAGTTGGGTTTAAAGTGATGTGGTAGAGAAATGATGTGACTTAAATAGGAAAGTGATTTTTTAACTTTTGACTTTTTTTTATTATGCCAAACTAAGCCAAAATATGTTACTTTTCAAGTTCTTCTAGAATAAATAATTTTACAGATAAATTTTTTTAAAAAAAATCAATAAAGACAAAAACAAGCTAAATTTTATAAGCTTTTTTTGTTTTTTTTTTATCAGGAAAAAAAGGGCTCTGAGGTGTCATCACGGCCTCGTGGGTCCTGACCCCGGGATAACCGGTTGCCAGTCAGGAATTAACCCCCACCATGTGAGGGACCCACCACTGGAGCACCAGGGGAGCTCAACTATCCGTCACACACCGGCGAGAGTTCGAACCGGGGTACAAAGGGAGGGTCTCAAAGAGAACACTTCCACACTCCCCGCAAGATTCAACCCTGGGTCAAGCCTGTGGAGACAAGTTGCTTTCTCCACTGGGCCACCACCCCTGGTGGTAAAATTTTATAAGCTTAGTTGACAAAATTTTGCTCGCTTTCCTTTTAGTGTTTTTTTTTTTTCCCCGAAAATTTCAAATTTTCAGGTCATTAAGCTGAGCAGATTTAAAAAGTTTTAGGAAAAAAAAAAGAGTTGACGCAATTTTTTTAAAAATTCACTAATTTTTTTAAAATATATATATTTTTTTATTTTTAAAGTCAGCTTATACTAATAAAATTGGTGATAAAAGACGTACACAAGTGACTAATCTACAAATCTAACTATACACTCAAAATAGGTGTACCAATGAAGTTTGATAAACTGTTCAACATTGATTTATTATTATTAGTCAAAATTTGCAAAGCATTTCTTTCACCTAATTTCCAACTGTTTTCTGTACTTGTTGCGTTTAGTGTTAAATCCTTTATACAGTCAGTTCCAAATTCAGATAAAGTTGTGAGTTTTTTTGTTTTGGAAGAAGGTCAAGATATACTGATTATATAACAAAACATGATATAAATAAATCAGCCTGTTAATAAGGTTGAGAGTTGTATATTAGGTAGTGTGATATCCAACATGTTAAAAAAAAAAAAAAGGATCTCTTATGAATGCAAAGGGAGGGAAATACCTTAACTAACTTAGGATGATATAAATAAATAAAAAGTAAATTTATTTAGTTTAACTGAATATATAGCCTTTGATAAAGCAGATTGATAAATAAATAAATAAATAAAAAATGATATAGCGGACTCTACTTAAATTTGATAGAAGACTTAATTTGATTTGATTTTATACCAAAAAAACAACTCCAACTTTTTAGTGCGCACCCAAATATATATACTCTTATTTTTTCTTTCAGTGATTTTTTTTGAAATATTTTATATTTAATGAATTTTTAATTTTTTCACAAATTTTATATGAATCTAGATTAAGCAGGTCTAAAAAGTAAAAATAATTTATTAAAAAAATTCACTAAAAATTAAAAGTAAAATACGAATTAAAAATTCAAAAATTATTTTTAAAAAACCCAAAATCAAACAGAGTAAATTTTTCGAAGTTTGAAAATGTTACCTCCTTGTGATCCACAGGCACAGAAGGGTACAACCTTAGAGCCTCTGATAGAGCAGCCTGCAAATAATCCATCTTCTTCACCTCCTCCGGCTTAAATATCAATGGACTTTCTCTCTTTCCATCTTCTCTCTCCCCAATTATTCTACATATTTCTGCAAGTATTCTCTCCTCCACCACCGGATTCCGATCAAGCAGCCAGAAAAACCAGCTCAACGCCACCGACGAAGTATCTCTCCCGGCAAGTATAAAGTTCACGCATATATCGCGTAAAAAAACATCCGAAAACGCCTTTCCTTGCTCGTCTCTCAACCTCATAAACACCGTTAATAGATCTGATCTCTGCTTGTTATTGTCACCCTCTTGCAATTGTGTCAAGAGTTCTTCCTTCCTCGTCCGAATCACTTCGTCTGCAAACAAATCGACTTGTTTTATCGAGCTCTTTAGTACTCTTTCGAAACCCAAGTCGAAAAACCTCATGGTTTTCCATATAAAAGTTGGCGTAACGAATCGTAGTAGAGATGCTTCTGTTGCGTCCTCAAAGGACTTGGCGAATGGGATTTCGGGTAATTCGGGGCTTAAACACCCCGGATCAACCCCGAATGCGATCATGCAAACGTTGTCGAATGTGAGTCGTAATAGAACATCTTGTAGATCAATAGGTTGAGATTTTTCGAGGGATTGTTCTAAAACTGGTAAAAGCCGAGCATGTACTAGCTCGAGCAAGGACTCAGTTGTCAAGTTCCGGAACTTCGTAGAGTGGAATTCGATGCTAGCGGTTTTTCTTTGTCGCTGCCATGTTTCATCATCAGCATTGAATATACCATTACCAAGGAGATCACGAAGCGTGTCGCGAAAGTACCCTCCTTTAGGGAAATTTGGAAACTTAGTTTTGAGAAGATGCTCTAAATTACGAGGATCCGCAGTCACAACACAATTGAGATTTGTAAACCATGGCCCTTTGAACGTAAAAGTCCCGTTCTGGCGACATAGAATGCCAGAGATCCACTCGTACATGTCAACCTTAAGACCGGCCACTAACGAAGGCAACATGCCAACGAAAGGCCAGACTGGCAAACCCTGGCTCTTTCGTTGGCGAAGAGAGTGAATGGTCACGAAACCGACAACCGCCAAAAGGATCTCGAGAAATTGGATTTCCGGGAGAGAGATCCGGCCTCCGATGAAGGCGAGGTGGCCGGAGGAGAGAGAAGAGGTCATGTGGGTGGTGAGGTTCATGGTCATAAGTTTGGGATGATGAGATTCGTGATTGAAGTAGTAAGAGTAGTAATAGTGCATGGGAATAGAGTTAGTTCGAGGTGAGTCATGTGTTATATGGGTGTGGTACTTTGTGTGTTGCTTGGCGTGTATGGGTTTATAGTGGTTTTAATTTGGTGAGCTGAAAAAAATGTATCAATTTGATTTGGGTAATTTTCTTGAGTTGAGCTTTTGAGTTTTTTTGGTTTTTTTCCCCCAAGATTTGGGGTGTTTTCTGGGGGCTATGAGAAATGGTATTGGTTGTGGGTTTTGAGTGTATAAAATGATGAGTTTTGGAATGGGTTTTTGGGTGATGGAAAGTTGGTGGTGATGGTTAACCTAAGCTCACCAATCCTCTAAAATATGCCACACAAGCTTCCTAGTGGCAAAACTTAATTAGTGGAAATAGGGTTTGTGGTATGGTCACCAACAAGTGCATGTATATTCCCACCCTAGTGTCTCCACGTGGCAGGGTGGCATGTTGTAATTGGACAAAAATTAGTGAGTCAGTTACTTTAGCTTGATGATGTGTAGGTTTAATGACAGACAAGATTATGTGGCCATTTTATTTTATTATTAATTTGGGGAAATTATACTCACCTCACTTGAGATTTGTGAAAAATATGATTAGATATATATTTTTAGTATAACTATATTAGTCTCTTAAAGTTTTAATTTATTTTTCATTAATAATTTATTAATTATATAAATAAAAAATAATATAATCATCTATTTTTTATTAAAATATATTTAACTTTATTTTTTTTATTATCTACCCACTACCTGTATTAGCTTTGGTCAATTTATCCTAACCAAAAAAAAGTTAATATGATTATTTAAAAGTATAAGTCTAATTATATTTTATTCAAATATGAGAGATAGGGAAGTGGAGATGTTGTTGCACGGGCTGTGTAACAACAGCTACTGTGTAACAAAATGAGCCTATTTTGGAATCTATTTTGATAATCTGAATAGTTCACATTTTAGAATATATCAAGTAAAACATGCCTACATAAAATTAAGTTAATTGGATATCATTTACCCATTCATTCACTCACATTTGTATCTGCAAAAATAAATAATAATAATGATTTAAAGTATTAAAATGAAACCAATCTATCAAAAGTCAAGCATGACGATAATTTTGATGTCATTATTAAACCAATCTATTAAATAAAAAAATTCAATTTTTTTTAATATATTAAATATATCGATTACACATTAAAAGTTTAGTAATAATCTTGTGTGGGTAATTTTCTGACCACACTGCTCGTTTAGTAATCAGCTAGAGAGCACCGGCAGAATAGATGGCTTCAGTTAACCTGTAACAGAAAGAAAAGGCTCTGGCGGTGGCTCTTCCACCCGGGGACACTCCGACGATCAAGTCAGTATATCTCTCTCAAAGATAATCAAGTGCTAAACTTACTGCTCAAAGCATAAATTGCATACCTTAGACCCACGGGGGTGCCTCTCTTTTATAGTTAACTCACTCCTTGTCCCACTAGAAGCCTGACTTCTATGGATTCCAACTCAATACTTACTTTGGATTCTTCAAGAGATAAAGATAAACTCCCTAAGAGCTTTATCCTCATCTTGACTAAGTCTTCTCTTCATTCTAGGACTCTTGTCCCTTCTCCGTTTATCTCGAATTCCGATATCTTCGGAGATCACCTCGGCCTTGCCGAGATCACCTCGGCATAATGACCAGGACACGTGGCACCTCAGCTGACACATCGGTGTCACCTTGCCACGTGTTGGTATTCAGAAATATATCCCCACAACTGCCTCCTAGGTTTTATTTCCTTGGCATTCTGAGGTGATGGAACCTATATCGGTATTTCCTCTTGTATATCGGCTTAAGAACTCCTCAGTTGAGATCATTTATTTCAAGCCGACATGTTCTCTTCAGAGAACAAGAATTCCAGTGAACTCTTTCACGTGTATGAGCTGTCATGCCTCATTTACTCAACCGTTTCATTTACGCATCTTTACCTTATTAGACCGTGTTCATGATGCGCTTGCAAGCCATCTCTCCCTCACGTGCGCCGTCTGACGCATACGTTCTTCTAGGCGTATTGATTACTTTTTGCCGCCGTTTTCATTTTTGACAAAAACTTTTCCCCCTCTCTTCATTTTTCACCTTTGCATTCGATTTCTCTTTGCTTTTTCTCTCTCTAGCTCTTGGATACGCCATTGTTCCAGTATTCAAGCTCTGCAACTGTCTTCCGTTCTCCCTTCTTGTGAAGCTTTCGTCGTCCTCGTTACATCTGTAACTGTTGTCTGACTTCGGCAATCTTCATACCGGCTTCATATTTTCTGGTAAACAACTGTTTTCTTCTTATTCCAGTTCTTGATCTTTTCTGGAATTTCTTGTTTACTACTGCTTTGCTCAAATAATTAATTTGTAAATCATACATCTGAATACGTTGATTTCGCTTTTTGCTTATGCCCTGAATACATGTACTGTTCATAGTTCTTTTTGCACACCTTGCCACTGTTCTTGGCCTTCAACCTTTTGTATTCTTCATGTTCTTGATAGTCCATCTCTGTTCTTGATTCTGAAACTTCGTATTTGTGTTCTGTTTTTTGTGTCTTTTCCAGATCTGTGCCTTTGATCTTCTTCTTCATAGCTTTAGGTTTGGGATTTATTTGTAGAACCCACATTTTTAGGGCAAAACTGAAACATCCCTTTCAAATTTCTTCATCAACTGAAACCTAGGTTTTTTGCCGAGGTACCAATAACCCTAATTGAACCATCTTCTTATTGAAACCCAATACCTTTAGTTATCCCGACATCATGGGTATGTGGGAACATCGGGTAAACACCCCCTCTAAGCTGGAATTTTTTAGGCAAGAGTTTGAAATCCCAGCCGATGTCAATCTGAGGTTGGCTGGGGATGATGACTCCATCATGCCTACAAAAAACTCCACGCCCTTCCCTGTGGTTGCCTTTATTGAGTGTGGACTCCGGTTTTCACTTAACATTCTTTTTCGCGAGATTCTTCATTACTACAAGTTGAACCCCATGCAACTGGCCATTAACTCTTATCGAGTGATCTACGGCATTATTGCCTTAGCTAAACAGGAAAACGTTAGGATCACTCTAGCCGATATCCAGTACTGCTATACCATGTGTGCCCTTAATTTGAAAGAAAAAGGCTACATTTATTACCTTAAGCCGAGGTCTACAGAATTCAAAATTGTAGCCGACCTTCCAGACTCAAACAAGGGGGCTGGAGATGACTATTTCATTACCTCGGGAAATTGAGAGTTTGCTCCAGACGAGGACATCCATCTCCACCCTCTTCCTCGTTCAGTTTTAGAGGGCAAGGGTAAGAGCCCAATATTCAACTTTACCTGTTTTCTTTTGAAGTTTTAAATACTTTGTCTGTTTCTGACGTCTGTTCTCCTTGCAGCTGTTCGTCAGCCACCGAAAAATTTTCGTCAATCCTTTGTTCCCAGTAAGGATTTGAAGAAACTTCTGGACTTGCCAATCCACAAAAGAAAGGCGCCTCTGCTCCTCAATTTTATCCCAACTTATAAATCAACCTTGCCCGACGTTTCCAAAAGGAAGAAGAAAAGCCTTTCTCCACCTTCTGCTACAACCCCATTGACTGTATCTACATCACGAACAGATCAAGGATCAACATCTGATCTAGCTGATCAGTCATCCACTTTGGCTCCATAACTGGCCCCAATATCAGAGCGAAAACGTCGGCGATGACTTGTCCTTATTGCCGAGATGGATCGCCCTAAGCCAGTTGCAAAAGATCTTCTAGCCAGTATTCCATCATCTGTTGATAAGCAGCCAGCACAAACCCTTCCTCCACCTAAGCCAAAAAGAATTAAGAAGGCCCAACCAAAGGCTAAAGTTACTCAGACTGAGTTTGAGGATTCTTTGCCTATATCAAGGTTGGTTGAGAGTGACAAACCTTAACCCTCTGCTGGGAAGAGGAGCTCGGAAACCCAGCCATCAAAGTCCCCAAAATCCAAAAAGCCGAGGTCTTCTTCCGCTACGACTTCGGGATCCAAGAAGAGCGATGCCCCCTGGTCCCCAAAAATAACTCTGGAGGACAAGCTAGTCTTGGCTACTGACAGTACCGACGACATCATATCAAGGTTGGCTGAGAGTGACAAACCTTAACCCTCTGCTGGGAAGAGGCGCTCGGAAACCCAGCCATCAAAGTCCCCAAAATCCAAAAAGCCGAGGTCTTCTTCCGTTACGACTTCGGGATCCAAGAAGAGCGATGCCCCCTCGTCCCCAAAAATAACTCTGGAGGACAAGCCAGTCTTGGCTACTGACAGTGCCGACGATATCAATGTCAGTGTAGCCCTAAGCACAGCTCTGCTCCTTCCTGGCGACCTTGACCGCAACGCCGAGTTGAGCGAGTAAGAGAATTATGCGTTGATGCTTTAACGCTCCGTTCAAGTAAGTGCCTTCTTCTTGGTAATTTTCTTCTTTCTGTTTTGTATTTAGAAAATTTTGTGCTAATTTTTGCCTTGTGTTTTTTCAGGCAATCCAACATGCCTACTCATTTTCTGTTCAATCCTTTGAAAATCAGCAAAAGCTGGCCAACATGAAGAAGAAGTTCTCTTCTCTCCAAAAGATCAATAAAGGCCTTGAATCAAAAATGAAGAAGCTTGAGGATCAAGCCGAGGGTGCAATTAAAGCTCAAAATAATGCCGAAGAGAAGGCTGAGGCTGCTGAGGCTATAAAAAAAGTGGCTGAATCCCAAAGAAAGGAGGCCGAGGAGAAGATGGCCCAAGCCGAGAAGGAGCTTCAAGAAGCTTTGGCCACCAAAGAGGCTGAAATAAAAGATGCTGATGAAAAGGCATATGCCCAAGGCATGGCCGACGTCACAGATGCTCACGAACAGCAAGTGAAGGAGGCATGTAACAAGGGTTTTACCCTTAGTTGGATGTCCCTTCTGAAGAAACTTAGCGTCCCAGAGGACTCGCCATTAAGAAAACCTGATGCCATTCCTCTGTCATTCCCTCCATATCAACCTCTAAATCAAGAAGTCGGCGAATCCGAATCTAAGGAAAATGATGAAGATGAGGATCAGGCCTTGGTGAGAAAATCCAAGGATGCTGATGGGGCCAAGTCCCCTCCCCAGAATGAGCAAGTCCTAGACTTGACTCAGGATGAGGAAGGTGATGAGGTTCCCATAGAAGCTGTTCCCGAGAATGCACTAGCCGACATCTCTTCTGTGGACAAGAGTGTTGAAGAAACTCTGTAAGAAATTGATGCCGAGATAGCGGCGAAT